CACCATCGCCGCCGACACCATCGCCGGCAACCCCGCATAAATGGATTTTCAGATTTTTTAGATCTGAAAAAAATAAATGAGATCTAGCAGAAAAAAATGACAAAAAGAAGAAAAAGAAGAGGGGAAGAGAGAGAGGGGGGAGATGAAGGCTAGATCTAGCAAGAAAAGAAAGGGAAGGAGGAAGAGGAGGAAGATAACGAGGAGAAGAAAATGAAGGGGGAGAGGAAGAGAAAAGAAAGATTGGAAGAAGAAGGAGAAGGAAGGAAGAGGAGGAAGGTAACGAGAAGAAAAAGAATGGGGATAGGAGAGAGAGAGAGAGAGGGGGGGGGAGGTTACCTGTGGATCTGGGTTCTGGCTTGCCCGAGCGAAAGAAGAAAATAAAAACAAGGAGGAGATAGGATGAGGAGGGAGGGGTAATTTAGGAAGATTGGGTATGAAAACGTAGACTGGGAACTTTATTTCCGGACGGAAAAAAGCGTACACTGGGAACTTAAAATCCGGACGGAGGGAGTTATTTTATAAAATATAATTTGTGTAAGATGCAAATGTATTAATGTTTTTATATAGTATAAAGAGTATCGTAAGTTAAATTACAAATTGATGTTGGTCCATCATATAAATTACATAGTATGATTATTCAAATATTCGTTTATGATTCGATAACTATTCGAATATTAATCAAATACTTATTCAAATCTTATTTTGAATTTGTCTCACATTCGGATCCGGATTCGTATTCGAAAAAATTAAACAAATACAAATTCAAATATATCGGTATTCGCTTCGATTCGGTTCGTTTACACCCCTAAACTTCCGCTATATTCATCCAGTATCCTTTTTGGATCGTCCCACCGTATTTGTTCACTTTTTATATTTGGTAAACATAATTAAATAATTTTCCAAGTTTACGCTCATCACTAATTCCCATCCACCTCATTTACTACCCAACCCATCCAACTATCCATCATCCTATCTCACCCACACTATTTACACTCCCCAACCTTATCGACACTTATCTCTGTCTCTTCTTCTTCGGCTTGCTTACACTAGATAGATTTTGTTCCAGCCTCTGAAGTTGGCAATGATAATGAGGACTTTGATATCTCTGAGTTGATTTCATGACCTTCCATCTTTTCTTCACCCCAACTCGTATGGTGAAGCTACTTCTATCAATATCCATAATAGTTGGATATTCACTGGGAATATCAAATAGCCACACCTTTGAGCACCCTTGCAAAATTTCAAAATTCATTAGACAAAATTTCACATCATTAGCAAATTTTTGTTTAATCGGTTCGATAAATACATCAAGGGAAAGGACCGAAAAGAAAACCCTTGAAGAGTAATAATTGCACTCTAACACTTCTAACCACAATTACAACTACCTACAAATGCACATCTCAATAATTAAATCAAACGGCTACCCTATCTAATTAACTAAACCAAATCACACAATCTGATTAGATTACATAATCATCCTGGACATCAATTCCAAAATCAAATGCATGCAAACCCTTCATAATCACCAGTCCATGTAATCAAACCCCCCACTGTCACAAAATTCCTCAGCTATCTATCGCCATAGAAAGGAGGACCTTTAGATTCCAAAATATGAGAAGCATCCACAGATTGAATCAGCCCATCCTCACCAAATGCAACAACTACCTCCAATGCCCTACAGCGAGGATGGAAGAATTCTTGACAAATTTTGGCTGACTTAGATGGGTCTGTAGGGTATATCAACCACCCCATTCCCATGAAATACTCTTCAGTGGTGGGGTTCCTACAACCATCTATGCTTACAGCAACCACTTCAACATTTGAATGCTTTTTCCTAATATTCTTTTCATACCATGCAGCCAGTT